GCGGCAGCTGGCTATATTACACCGATCGACTTGTTCCACCTAACCCTTGAACTTCTAGCTCTAGACATTGTTTAAAGCTATCTATTGACAGTGTCCCTACTGTACTTGGTGACAGTGAGTTCCACTCTGCGATAGTTCTAGGAAAGAATGAATTCTTGAACACCTCAATCCTTGGTTGATAACTCTGGTACTTGAATGCGTGGCTATTTCTTGTTCTCTTCTGGGCTGGTATTAGGTACTTAGTAGTTGGGACATCCACCACGGTTACGCCGAAAGGCGGTTATACCGGCTATACAGATACAGAAGCTGGTGTGTTACGCCGAAAGGCGGTTATACCGGCTATACAGATACAGAAGCTGGTGTGTTACGCCGAAAGGCAGTTATACCGGCTATACAGATACAGATACAGATACAGAAGACAGACTTTCCCCTCAGACTCTGTTTTGAATTCATGCTCATCTTCCAGTTTAGCCATATTTATTTTTTTTAAAATCTGATTCCATCCAATTAGATTGTTGTGGCTTATAATGATTCAGAATTTGCTCAGAATTATGTTTTAAAATTTATAATCTCACCAGGATGTATTTGTGGACCAAAGTGACTCATTTATTAATTTCGCACAAAAAACAAGATACAAGGTGAAGTAAATTAAATTAAAAACACTGCAGGAGAAGATGAAGCCTTAAAGGCTTGTACAAGCCCTTCTCCTTAGTATTTTCATGATCTCATATTTTCACGTGACTCATATTTTCATGATCTCATCTGTGGATAGATCCGTGTCACCATGTTTGTTTTTGAAATATGATTGTTGTTTTTATATAGAAGCATGATGTTTAAATACATGAAAGCTTGTACATTAGAGCCTTCGTGGTCAGATTTGAACCTACATTCCTCTCATTTCTACATCATTAGACTCAGTATGGAATGCTGTTTCCTAAGTGCTGTGAGTTATTTAATTAGGCCAACTGTTGTTCCATGCGAAATACAATCTGGGAATTTTAGCCAATTGGAACTGATTGAACAATTCAGACCCTACAGATTCAATCAAAAGTCAGCCTGCTAAGGCAGCCATTTGGCTATATGTATATGAAACATACCTGTTCGTAACCTTTTTACCATCACTCAGAAACGAGAAGAAGCTGAATTTACTACTGTTGTAGTTACTAAGTAACAATAACATGTAGTTAATAATATTATGTAAGGTTATCTGTATTCTGTTCCTTTGTTGTGACCTGTTATACTTAACCCAGCGGGTATGTGTGTACAATAAAGGCCTTCATTCATTCATTCATTCATTCAATAATTATTGATAAGTTAATAGATGTGCTAGGTAGCAGGGAGAAGGTTAAAAACAGAGACTATATATATCTTTCAACAGAGTTTGAACCCAGTTGACCCCTGTTGTGACCTTTCCCCCAGGGTGAAGAGTCGCCTGGTCAGGTCGAAGGTCAGAGTTCACCCGTCAGGCAGTCGTTCACGGCGAGACACCAGGCGCTGTCGGCGGGGTCCAGTCTGAACGGGAGTACTCAGGACCTGGACACGGTCAGTTCTCTGCTCCTGTTTGTTTTACTGTGCCTTTATTGAACGTCCAAATTACTCCATACAGCCATGAAGGCCATTTTTCTTTGAGGTCAAGTTGGGAGGGGTGTCCAGGGTTCTGACAAATAATGTCTGTGTGTCTGTGTGTGTGTGTGTATCTGTCTCTGCCTGTCTGTCTGTCTGTCTCCGTGTGTGTCTGACATTGTTGTGCATCTGTGTGTGTGTGTGTGTGTGTGTGTGCATCTGTGTGTGTGTGTGCATCTGTGTGTGTTTGTGTGTGTGTGTGTGTGTGTATGACGTTGTGCATCTGAGTGTGTGTGTACTGTGTGTGAGGGTGCGTGTCTCATAATAAGTCTGTATTTCTATAACCAGTCTCTGTATGAGAGAGCAGAGCATGCTATACCAGGGTGGGGGTGAAGTCTGCCATCCCTGATTGTTTGTTTGTTTGTTTGTGTTTCCAGCTGGAGGACACCCCAGAAGGGCGGGAGCGTCTGCTCGCCAAGAAGAACCGAGAACTGACCTGGACGCTCCGACAGCTGGAGAAACGCTGCTCTGCTCTCAAAACTGAAAATGTCACTTTGGTGAGTACAGAAAAACTGTGGTACATGTAAAGGTGAAAAGGTTGTCCCATAGCCTTTTTCAGGCCGTGAAATACTTTCTAGGAACTGACCCCATACTCCCCACTCTACTGTTCTTCCTTTGATTTTGCCATTTCTAGGGTATCTAGAGAGATTTTTTTGAGCGCAGTTCTCACGGACTTGTGTTTTTGTTACTCACACCAGGAAGGATGGTCCTTCTCTTTTTGTTAAGTGATGACTTTCGTTAGCGTGCTCAAAATATAGCTCTCCTCTAACATAGGCTGGCTTAACTTCTTAGCCAAAAGGATGTCACTTAATCGAGTTAATAGGTACTCATGTTCACCTAAGTTGAGCCAGTCCAGGGATTGGCCTCTGTTAGCTGTAAACTAAGTCCTGTGTCTTTCACAATCTGGTCTTTCCACTGCTTTTGACTATTTATGACCACACCTTCTTTGCCTTAAGTTATAGTAAGCTAAGTTATAGTAAGTTATAAATAGATTATATAATTATAAGCTGGTGTGTTACGCCGAAGGGAGGGCTATACCGATACAGATACAGATAGTACGAATGTCCTCAATGACAGATTGTTCAGCCCCCAGTTTAGCTCTAAATAGTCTAATTTTGTCATTTTTTGCGTGCTCAGTTCTAATTCTTGATTTTGCAGAAGCGACAGCGGGAGGAACTGGAGCTGGCTGAAGACAAGATCAGCAAACTTCAGCGTCGGAACACGGAGCTGACCGCTCTCGCTCGACGGTTAGAGACCAAGGCTAAAACTCTACAGCAGCACAACACTGGGGTAGGACTGAGAGTGAGTGAGTGAAACTGATGAGTGAGTGAGTGAGTGAGTGAGTGTGTGAGTGAGAGTGAGTGAGTGAGTGAGTGAGTGAGTGTGAGTGAGAGTGAGTGAGTGAGTGAGTGGGCGAGTGAGTATCTGAGTGAGTGTGTGAGTGAGTGAGTGATGAGTGAGTGTGAGTGAGTGAGTGAGTGAGTGAGTGAGTGAGTGAGTGAGTGAGTGAGTGAGTGAGTGAGTGTGAGTGAGTGAGTGAGTGAGTGAGTGAGAGTGAGTGAGTGAGTGAGAGAGTGTGTGAGTGAGGGAGGGAGTGTGAGTGAGTGTGAGTGAGTGAGAGAATGAGTGAGTGAGAGTGAGTGAGTGAGAGTGAGTGAGTCAGAGTGAGTGAGTTAGTGAGTGAATGTGAGTTCTACATTTGTGTTCTACAAGTTCTACGTTTGTTGCCATTTTGTGTCCAGAAAACAAATTCAGATACTCCACATGAGTTCTAAAAGTCTGTGTCTGTTTCCTGTATCCCCAGAAAACCAGCCAGCCATCGGGGGAGAACCTGGAACATTACAAACGAGTCTTCGCTCGTCAGCGAGCCAAGGACCTAGCTGACCACGCTCAGGCCATTCTTGCCAAGGACAAGGAGATCGGACATCTGCAGCAGGAGCTGGTGACGGCACAGGATCAGGTGCAGGTCAGTAAATAATAAATAATATTAAATACAAACAAACAAACAACAAACACAACAGGTGCGGCCGTGCGGGTCAGTAAACAATGAGTAACTGAAAAAAAAAACAATTTGCTTTTGAAGTATCAGAAAAAAATTCAGAAATTTCAGATGACTACTAGTAGATTTTTCTCCTTGTGCCCAGTATAAAAGTTTCATCTGTACAGCCAGGACTTTTTATTGGCAGTGAGTTTAACCTTTAAAGCTTTACAGTCCAGTGTCTGGAGTTGGTAAATTGCTTTGCTGCTTGCTTTAGAGTTTAAAACTGAAGTGGCCTGATTATTTTTTTCCGGTGCCTGTAAAAGAGTGATCACTACTGTCCCATGTTGTTGTTTTTTTCTGGTGCCTGAAAAACAGTGACCTGTACTGACCAGTGTTGTTTTGTTTCTGTGCCTGTTTAACGGTGACATGTACTGACCCGTGTTATTTTTCCCGGTGCCTGTACATGTACTGACCCGTGTTATTTTTCCCTGTGCCTGTAGAACGGTGACGTGTACGGCCATCAGGAGGAACTGCAGCGCATCATCACGCAGGCAGCGAAGGAACGGCTGCAGCTGGAGAGGAAAATCTGCAGCAGGCTCAACTCTCAGGTCAGTAAATAATGTAGGCAGGTGTGATGTCAGTGCGAAGGGCTTCAACATGTAGGTTTTTTTGTGTCATGAAGGAATAAATGAAGGAAGGAGGGAGGGAAGGAAGGAAGGAGGGAGAAAGGGAGGAGGGGAGGGAAGGAAGTACTGTAGACAGGTGTGATGTCAGGACTCAACATATTTTTTTGTCAATGAATGAAGGAAGGAAGGTTGGAGAGAGGGAGGGAAGGAAGTAAGGAAGGTAGACAGTTGTAATATCAGTGTGCAGGGCTCAACATACTTTTTTTGTCATGAAGGAATGAATGAAGCAAGGTTGGAGGGAAGTGTGAAGGGAAGGAGGGAAGTAAGAAAGAAAGGAAGGAGGGACTGTAGACAGTTCTGATATCAGTGTACAGTGCTTGAAATACTTTTTTAGCATAAATGAATGAATAAAGGATGGAAGGTGGGATGTATGGATGGATGGATGGAGAGAAAGAAGGAGGAAGGAAGGAAGCTTTATTAACTAAGGGTGTCTTGTGCTTTATGCACCCAGCCTATGTGGGCTTATAAGATACCAGAAGACTTAATTTCTACCAGTCCTTGGATGGTGATTTTTTTACACCAAATGCGAGCACAGTCTGGACATTTTCCTTCTATAATTACAGATGTTATAGTCAAAACAATAGATTTTGAACAAATCAGAAAAAAATGGAGCGGGTGAATCCGAGAAACGACAAATTAACTTGGTGAGGCCTAACGTCTGATGTATGATAATTGCCGTCCGTATGGCTGGTTCCTTTGTTCCCCGTGCCATAAGCCACAGGTTCCTGAATAATTAATGAGGTGATTACTCCATGAGAGCATCATGTCACCACAGGTTTACTGTGAGTTTGGACAGCGTGTAGGCGTCTGTCTGTTGTGGGTTTGTGGCCGTTCTGTAGACGGTAAGGCCACACGTATTTATTTACTTGTTTCTTAGATATTTTAACCCTAAGCTTGTCCTGCTGGCATTTTTTACACAATATTTTTCTGCATTAATTTCATGTCTTAATCAGGTCATAGACCCCCGACTTATTTGCCCCGTGGTGGCATTTCGGTGGCATTTCGCTGCGGTGTGATGCATTGCATGAGAAACACTGCCAAGTCGTACCTATACAGGTTGCTACAATGTAGCAAGGACCGTACTGTATGTGCAAAACAACAATTGTTGGGCTCCGCAGGGTAAAAATGAAATATACATAAAGTCATGTAGCAAGCTGACATAATATATAAGCAGAGGGCAGGGAGGAAATCTTAAATATGACTGAGTAGTGGTTCTGCGTCTCACCCCATCCAAAATTTTACTCTGAAATGTGCTGGAAACACAGTAATAAATTGCTTTGGCCATGATTCCTGCATGTTCCCCCTCTCATATCTCCTGTCTGTACCCAGTACTTGTGGTTCTCACTGTTCCAGTAGCTTTTTACTCTGAAACGTGCTGGTAAACAAAATAATAATTTAAAATTGCTTTGTCCACAATTCCCCATTCCTGCATTCCCCATCTGTATACCCATGCAGTAGTGGTTCTGAGTCTAGCCCCATCCCAAATTTTACTCTGAAATGTGCTGGTAAGCAAAGTAATAATTTAGAATTGCCGCAGCCATGAGTCCTTGAACAGTATTGCATGTTCCCCCTCCAAGCTCCTGACTGTACCCAGTAGTGGTTCTGAGTCTCGCCCCATCCAAAATTTTACTCTGAAAGAAAACAAAGTAATAATTTAAATTTTAAAATTGCCACAGCCACAATTCCCCATTCCTACATGTTCCCTCTCATACTGTAATTCACTTTATGTTCACGGTAGCAAAAGTTCACGGTCTGAGAAAAATGGACATGTTCACAGGTGCAGGAAAAGAAAGTCCAGGAATTATTTGTTGTGTGTATTGTAATGATAAAATCACGGTACAGAATTAACAGTGAAAACAGTGAACATAACACTACCCTGAAAAAATCAGGGATTACAGTTATTTCTGTATCTCTTATCTGTACCCAGTAGTGGTTCCAAATTTTACTCTGAAAGTGCTGGTAAACAAAGTAATAATTTGAAATATTGCTGTAGCCACAACTCCCCATTCCTGCATGTTCCCCCTCATATCTCCTATCTGTATACCCAGTAGACTGGTTCTGAGTCTCACCCCATCCCTCTTTTTACTCTGAAAGTACTGATAAACAAGAAAATGAATTGCTTTAGCCATGATTTCTCCATATTGCATTTTCCCTCTCATACTGTTTTAAATCCCTCTGTACCAGCAAATTTTTACTAAGAAATATGCTGATAAACAAGAAAATAAATTCCTGCAGCCACGATTCCCCATTCCTGAATGTTCCCCCTCCTAGCTCCTATATCAGATTTCTGTAGTAGTGATTCTGAGGTTCACCCCATCCCTCTTTTTACTCTGAAATGTGCTCCATGCATGGAAACAAAGAAATGAATTGCTGTAGCCATGATTTCCCATATTGCATGCTTCAGCCAGTCCCTCTGTTCCAGTAGATTTTTACTCTGAAATGTGCTGAAAACAAAGTAATAATTTAGAATTGCCGCAGCCATGAGTCCTTGTATTGCATGTTTCCCCTCCTAGCTCCTATCTGTACCCTGAGTAGTGGCTCCAGCTCTAAGTCTCCCCCATCCAAAATTTTACTCTGAAATGTGCTGAAAACAAAGTAATAAATTGCTTTGGCCATGATGCCTGCATGTTTCCCTTCCCAGCTCCTATCTGTACCCAGTAGTCAGTTACTGTACATGTTTAGCCTCTTCAGCTAGTCCCTCTTTCACTCTGAAATGTCCTGGAAACAAAGTAATTATTTAGAATTGCCGCAGCCATGAGTCCTCCTATTGCATGTTCCCTCTCCTACATGTGTGTATCTCCTATCTATACCCAGTATATAGGTACATTGTAGTGGCTCTAGATCTGAGTCTTATCCCTCTTTTTACTCTGAAGTGTGCTGGAAACACAGTTATAATTTGCTGCAGCCACAATTCCCCATTCCATATCTCCTATCTGTATACCCATGCCAGTAGCTGTTCTAATACTCCCCCCATCCCGGGCCCCAGGCAGGTGATTTTGATGCAGAGCAGGCTCGCTCCCGCTCCTGGCACGGCCCGTTTCCCGGGTGATCTAAATTGCATCTCCGTTTACAGATTCCGCGGTGCGGTTTGGAGCAGAATTGATGCCTATCGGGGCAAAGCTGCTCATCATTGGCTGTGGGGAAACGGGGCACTGCCGCATAAATTATCCTGCTGTAAAGCAGGCAGCAGGCTGGGGTAGATGGGTGCTGTAGTCACTCCTAACCTCCCAGCCTTGTTACTGCACCGTTTCTGCTGCTTCAGTGGTTTTGTATAAGGTGTGGTTCATGGGTTATACGTACGTTTGCCTGTCAGCTAAATTCTACCCAGCCTGCATGCGCCGTACGTAGTGTTACAGTAGAGAAGTGATGACAACGCGCTAGCCCCACAGTTTGTCTCTGCAGAGAAATTCCACGTTCCGTGTTGAGATTATTTTCGCCGCGCAAATCTGGGAAACAGGTAGGTCGTAATTTCTGCCTATGGGGAACGATTGTTGCACAATTATGTTTGTATTTTGAAGTGGCCTCTGGGAGGGTTGAATTGGAGATTGTGTGCGTCTGTGTGGACGTATGAAGCCTATTGTCTGTCCCCCTCCCTCGCCTATTGTGTGATTCCGGAATGACATACGGTTTCTGTCAGGAGTCGCATAATTATATTTTACGTACTCCTGTTTGTGTGATGCGTGGGCCACACCAATGCATTTCCTTGGTTCATGGACTTAACAATTAAAGTGAAAATATAGTGCTAGCAAGCAGACATCATAAAATCGAGGGCATGGATGAAACTTAATTGTATTCACTCCATAAAAATAAAACTGAGTGTACCTAGGATTAAACCTGGTCCTTGGGGATATGTTTTCATTAGTTTTTTTTCTAGTAATCCATTTTTTTATTAAAATCTAAGAACCAGCAAATTGAATTGGTGTGGCCGTATGCAGTTAGCTAGTACCGTATGCAGGAGCACGTTACTTATTTTCTGTAATTAACCATTCCATTAATGTCCGAGATGAAATGACATGTAACCAGGTCGTGTAGCTAATAGATTTCATAACTACATTTAATCCTAGCGCTGTGCAGATGCGTGTTGTAAAAATTGGCACGGCCGGTTTTCGTATCTCTCTGCTGCAGAATTGATTTTATTTTTGACATGACGTGTATCTTTTGGTTGAGATTTGAGGTGCAGAATGCATGCAGGCACACCCATGTATGTTGTATTACTGTGTGTGACGTGTGAGCATGATAGTCTAAAGCTACGGGTCTGGATTCAGGGTGTGTGTGTGACACTGTACATGTACATATACACAGGCCACACTAATTTTATTAGTTGGCTCTTGTTTTTTTACCTCCATGAAAAATGGAGGTATTGTTTTTGGTGTGTCTGTCTGTATGTCTGTCTGTGTGTGTGTCTGTCTGTCTGTGTGTGTTTCCGCAACTTTTTGGTCAGCATAACTTAAGAACGCCTTTATGGATTATGATGATATTTGGTATGTTGATAAGTCTTAGGAAGACAAACGTCAAGGTCAAATATGGGCCTCCTGGTGGATGACCTTGGTACTGCAGCAGAACTTCCGGTTTTTGTATCTTTTGTCCTGAACATGCTATGGTTTTGATGTTTTGGTGACAGATTGCTTTTCCTGTCAGGAATAAGTGGTGTGAGTTTGGTCCCCCTAGCAGCTTGTTCTGGAACTGCAGGGCACTTTCTGGCGAAATGTTTAAAAGCCAATAAGTCCAGATAGGAACAACATATTTTCATAATTTTTGGTGTGTAGGTAGCTGAAAGAGAGATGTACACGATTAAATGCAAACTATGCAAATGAGGACTTTATTTGCATAATTAATGAGGAAATTCTATAATTACAGTGTTTTACATTATACTTCTTTCATACATGTAATGTATGTAACCTATGGCAGGCAGAACATGAACA